ATATATATTTATATATCAACATAAAAATTATAAAATTACAAAGAAAATAACAAAAAGGGACTTTAAGAAGTCCACTGAAAAAAGTCCTTTTTTGTTATTTTCTTTGTAATTTTCTTCACTGTAATATTTTTTTTCTTGTTGACAGAGAAAGTTTCTACCAACAAAGGATGATTTAAGGATGTTTTAAGAAGTAAGCTAAAGTGAATGTGCAGGTTTAGCAGGGTTTTATTGGGACAGGGTTGAATAAAAATATTGTTATTACCCACATTTTCCTAAAACTGCAAACCCGGGAAGTTCTGCTCCAACTCGCAACTTAAATATTTAGACTAAAGCAGATATCAAATGCTTTTTAAAAAAATATCTGAAACACTCTATTGCTCAGTTCTTTTTCTATACCCCGTACACAAATTTACTGGTCAGCCAGAGAAGTTTTCAGTGCATTAGGAATAAGTCATATGTATGTTATAAAGATTGTTTACAGGTACAGAGAAAATGATTCATTGTGAATTAAATTAGTTACAGACATGCTATCCCTGCAATGACGCATCTGACTTAGAAAAAGTATGTTCTGTTGCATTTTTTTGCTTTTTTGGTTTTAAGCTTCTGTTGTGTGGTACATAAAAAGAAGTATAGGTATATTTACATGTATAGAGAACACGATTCATTGTGAATTAAATTAGTTACAGACATGCTATCCCTGCCTTACAAAAAGACGTTCTGCCATGACCTGAGAACTTAACTGAGAACCTAAACAGACAACCCAGAAAATAGCTTGTCAACATGTAAAATAGCTATCAAAAAAGAAAACAAACATGGTAGCAATCAGATAAAACGGTCGATTTAGCTCGACGGTACCCTGTAAAGGTTTGAAGTCCAAGATTTTAGTGGTTTTCCAGTCATCGGCAGATTCAAAGGTTTCAGTGTTCAAGGATCTTCCACACAGTTCCACTTAACTCTCATGCCGTCACTGGTTTTATTACTGATTCCATTCCTGATCACGGCTAGTGAACTCTCAATGAAGTGAAGCTCTGACTGAAGACAAAGCATAATGAGAACACGAGTGTCTGAGTCAGAGTGATCTGTTTTCTTATTGATATTTAATGGGAATTTCCTTTTTAATCAGTGCATGTTAAGAAGTTGACCTACAAGGGTCAGACTTAGGTTTAAGATGTATCGTGGGGGGGATAGAGGAGGAGAACAGACTGAGGCAAGACTCAAGTTCAGGGCAGACTATTTAAATGTTGGAAACATGCAAAGAAGCCAGTAAGAGGAGCACATTTCAAGAAATACAGGTAAGAGATTCGATTTTTTTCCCCCACAGTAAATGCAAAAAATATCCAGAGGAAGACGTTATTAAGGTTATACTTTTTTTTTTTTCTGCATGTTTTAATTATGTCTTTGTTTATATGGCTTTTTTCTTTTTGTCTATTTAATGAATTCGTTTTTCTTTTTTAGGATGCGTAACATTCTGGCCCTTCTCTGCGTCTTTCTTATGGCAGCTCATCAGAGCACTAGTCTTCTCACAAAGGGAGAATCCATCAGAAACACCATACACAACATTGCAAACATTGCTCAGATAACCCTTGTCCACATTAAGAAACTAAAGGTACCAATATATTGATTATTTTTATGTTAATGCGATTTGCTGTTTGTTTTCATTGCGTATACTGTTTTCTGCCTAAATTTTCTCATTGAGGAATGTTTTTATTCAATATTAAACTAAGCTTACGTATTATTTTTTTTATTCTTAGTTGCTGGCTTCACCGATAGGTTTTCCCCCTGCTTCCATTGTAGGACTAAGTAATATAAGCCATGAGCTTGGAGTTTTGGATAATGAACTGCAGCAGCACCCTTTCCTCATCCAGATTCAGGCTGATGTTTCCAGCTTGGAAGGAAGGGTGCGCTCCCTCGCCTTATCAATGGAGTGTCCCCTTAAGCCCAAACCAGCAGTACAGATGGATGAGAGTGTGTTCCCAGACAGCCACCTTTACATGACAGTGACAAAGGTGCAGCACTACCTAGAGGAACTTCTTCTCAACAAGGGCAAACTCAAGCTCTGCTAACAAATTTAAGCTTGATGCATATATAGTAAGGCAGGACTTGCTATATATATCGGGACAAATAACCCAGTGTAGGCAAAGGTTAATTTGTCTTTGTGATGCATATTTTCTATACATAGAATTACTACGTGGACAACTGTCAGTCGTTAAAAGCATGCAATTAATTCCAATAATTCAGCGATTTGCAATATAATGAAAAAACCTATAAAGGGCATCTTTTATTTCATACAACAAATGTTTTATAGGGTTTTACAGATAGATTAAAATGCTCATATATTTTTTAACAAAATACATTTTTTAATACTTTATGGAAAACTGTTTTACACACGTTTGACATGGTGTGTGTTTTGAGGGTCAGGATGGGAAAAAGGAGACACTACATAGTACTTGGAGGTTGTGTGAATAAGCATGATTGTGGTCATTTCTGCCAGTAAATAAAACTAATGCAAAGAATTGCATTGTGCTATGAAACTATTGCCAGAGAAAGCATATAAGACCTTTTGATGACTGTGCAATCTTAACTGTTTTTAGTGGATGCTTGTCTCAGTGGTCTATTGAGCAGAACCATTAAGCTAAAGGTTATTAGGATGTGTTTAAAAATGAAATGTGTTATTGTTTTGTAATAAAGTTTGCAATGACAAATTCTGTCATGACTGATGCTCTTCTAAAATTTCAAAGATTTAAGTCGTACATTTAAGACTTTTTTTCACTTGTGTGTTACTTTGATAAGAAATCTTTATTAAAATATTATGTATGACATAAAATACAGCTAAACTTAATGGTACAATGATACAGTTTTATAAAATAAAACAAGCCAATAGATATAATTTAAATTTCATATATAATAATCTACAATAATTGCATTAATGAATATCATATACTGGGAGCAGCATTTTAAGCAGCATAAAGAATTAAGTTTGTTTTTTATTATAAAATGTAGTTTTCAGCCATCATGGCTTTATTTTATTTTATTTTATCGAATCAAGCTGACTACTGGGATAATAAAAATATATTTACAAAAAGAAACCCAACAACAATCCTTTGCTTAAACTTTAAAGAAAAAATTATTATTCTTATATAAGAATTTCTACTAAATTGAATTTTTAAAAAAAACATATATCATTAGGCAATAATTTGTTCACAATTACCCATAATTCAATCTAAGGATTCACTTTCTTCATGAGTCACTCCTGATCCATTCCAATCTAAACACCAAACTACACAAAAGCAGAAACTAACTTACTCATTACTGATTACCCGTGAACTACAAAAGAGCTAGAAGACACTTTAATAACATGCAGCTGTTCAGCAATGAGGAACTACAGAGCAGCCTCTTAGTACGACTGTCTGAAGTGTGTGAGTTGAAGTCTGCACTTCTTTGAGGCTTTTGAAGATTTTTCACTTCTCATCCAAAAGCCACTTTCGAAGAAACAAACAGAAAAACAAAATTTAACCCTCTAATTTTACGGCCATTAAACAACACTAAGCAGAGTATGCTACACGTTTTGAAAATGTTAAAAACTCTGTACCTTATAATGGAAATGTAACACAAGTCACCACAAATCGATGATGAATAATCACAGCACGAGTGTATGTGTGTGTGAAACGCTAACATAAAAAAGTAAACAGAGTTGAAATCCAAGAACCTTGATAAGGTTTTACAAGGTAAATCAACAGTAAATTCTTACAGATCCACTCTTTTACATTCTAAGAATAAGAATAAGAATAACTTTATTTATCCCGAGGGAATTCTTTTGTCATGTACATGCTCAAAGCAGCAGAAGAGACAGAGGAACAGATGAATAAGATATACAATATATACAATAAGAATAGTAGTATACAGTAATATACAGTAGGGAGTCAGTTCTTCATACTACTCAGACATGCAATAAAATATTACTACATACCTAAAGTGACTAAACACACAAGAGGCGGTGCTTGTAAGCACCTTATGGTAAGTCTGCTTTTTGTGTATTCCAGCTGAGTTACATGAGATTCCAAAGAAAGTCTAATGATAACACTATGGGATTAAGATGGGGTTTTTTTTAACATAGACTTATTGGTGTTCCTCGCCTTTACAGTTATCTACACTTGGCCTTCCTCAGACGAATGACTGCCAGAAATATCTGTGTGATATGGAGCTGTTTGAGAGCAGTTTGTTGGAACCTGCAAAGAAACCAGTTAGAGGAGCACATTTCAAGAAATACACGTAAGAGATGAGATTTTTTTCCCCCACAGTAAATGCAAAAAATATCCAGAGGAAGACATTAATAAGGTTATACTTTTTTTTTTCTGCATGTTTTTATTATGTCTTTGTTTATATGGCTTTTTTCTTTTTGTCTATTTAATGAATTCATTTTTCTCTTTTAGGATGCGTAACATTCTGGCCCTTCTCTGTGTCTTTCTTATGGCAGCTCATCAGAGCACTAGTCTTCTCACAGTAGTTCTTCATACTGCTCAGACATGCAATAAAAGATTACTACATACCTAAAGTGATGGCTAAACACAAAAGAGGCGGTGCTTGTAAGCACTTTATGGTAAGTCTGCTTTTTGTGAATTCCAGCTGAGTTACATGAGATTCCAAAGAAAGTCTAACAATAACATTATAGGATTAAGATGTTTGTTTTTTTTAACATAGACTTGTTGGTGTTCCTCGCCTTTACAGTTATCTACACTTGGCCTTCCTCTGAAAGACGAATGACTGCCAGAAATATCTGTGTGATATGGAGGTGCTTGAGAGCAGTTTGAAAGCATGTTTATTCTATTAACTTATTTATTAAATTTCCATTGATTACTTAGTAAAATTCTCTTTTTTGAATCATACATTAGCCCATGCTAACAGAGCGTTTAAATGTTATTTCCTGGAGTGAGAGAAGCTTCTGTAATTAGAGAGGAAATGCAGGGTTATTTTTGTGTTAGATAACAGTGGCAGGGAGGAAACAGTGGGTTACTACTAACAGCTGTACTGAAATGCGGTATATACTTCTGTGGACCTGTTTTTTAGTGCTTATAATTATTAGGCATTCTTAACGTTACATTGAAGTTTCTCAGTTATCTGGTCTAATGTGCCTTTGCTACACTACAACGGCAACAACTGTAAGCTATTAAGATCATACTACAATAAGAGTGAATAACAGTATGACTTTTTATCAGAGAACATCTGGGATGATGTAGAACATAGTTTTATGAACAATGCCAGGAAATAATCAAGCACTTCTGGTTCACTTCTTGTGAGCGTGGTCCCAATATATATGAACAACTCTGAGTAACTGCAGTACATATCATTCCTCAAATGTAACTCACACAGAAGTGAATGAAGAGACCTCAAAACACCATTATAAGCTCCTTTTCACACAGAGAGGGTTGCAGATTGAAATTTTAAAAAAGAAATTCAACTAAAAATATTAAAGTTTTCAAAATGTTTATCTTTGTGTTTTCCTAAAATAAACAGCAAGGGTTGAAACAAACATACAGACTTCAAAGATGGTTGGAAAGAAGTTAAATGACATTAGTTTTATGGAGTTTATGTTTTACTTACCAAGAGTGATTGTGCTTTCATAACATGAGTTCATGTGAATGTTTGAATTACACTGAAAATAAAACAGAAAAGACTAGAAAACAGGTCTAATCCTAAGCAAAAGTTATTGTAAGTCCAAATTGCTAAAATAGATTAAAAGATATGGTCGGAATAAACATGTAGATAAGCTAAACTAGCTAAGTTAAGCTCGGGGTAAGAAAAATATTTTTGCTTTAGCACATATATTTTCAGCATTTCTTTAGTATAAGATTTAACTTTGCTACCCTCCTTTAGTTAAAGACTAACAGTAAGCCTTTGGTTGCACTTATACACACATTATAAACCCATTTATATATTGTATTTTTTTAAACTTGGAATAAATTTCCCACTAACTTGCAGGTCCACCCATTCACATTCAAAGAAAACTAGCCTTTTTCCACTCTATGAAGTACCCGATTTCAATAAAGAAGATCATTAAAAGGAAAAATTTGGAAAAGAAATATCAGATGGAGTAAATATCATTATAATAAAATAAAATAAACAAATGTATATGTGTATAAAAGTAATTAAAATGACTTAAATGATAAACCCGTTACAAGACTTCCAAGTAATTCTTTAGATGGACACAGTGTATAGAGAACAGGGAGGTGGGGGCAGAGAGAGAGGAGAAGGCACGTGGCAAAGGGCCGCGGGTGCTACTCAAACCCAGGCCGGCCGTTCTCAGCCGTATGGCATGTGGTCGCTCGCTCAACGCACTGAGCTAAACCAGCGCCAACTTTCAAGAAGTTCTTAATAGAAGTGAGACCATGTTGGCAATTTTTTTATATGGAAAAAACTCACAAGTAAAAGTCCTGTTCCAAGCAGCGTAATTGAAATATTTTATTTCACTCAATGTGCAGCAACCACATCTCTGGTAAGAGTACCAACAGTTTATCAACTAAAGCTTTTGAATTGTTTAAAGTGCAAAATAATCCATAACATAAGCACACAGGTAAATAACATCAGTTAGTTTTTCTTTTTAAATAACTTAAAATACAACTTTAGTTAACAGCAAGCAACAAAAATTCAAACAATGAATATGCAAAAGAGTGTTATGGCCCTGGGCCTTGGAGGAAGTGAGACTGCCCTTTTGTTTATGCCAGTGGTTCTTAACCTGGGTTCGATCGAACCCTAGGGGTTCGGTGAGTCGGTCTCAGGGGTT